TGATGGAGGACTGGCTACAATCACTACAGAATAATATAGGTAAATTCTCACTTCCTACAAGAATGAGCTGTGTTTTTAGCAAGTGATGATGAAAGAAAGAATAGAATGAGAAAGTGTCCTTAGTTCAGCGCATTTTGAGCTGTCCTTTTTGCCTCTGTTAGACACAAGTACACAGGTCACCTTGTGATGTAGTGACCTGGCAGGAGAATGCCCAGGGTGACTTGCAAAGCAGCCTTTCAGTTGTACTGTGGCCAACATCAGGTTATTTCCAAGCCTTGCCCAAGGATTGTATTTTATTAAGGAGCTGCCTTGGATCCTGATCAACAGCTTTTCTGCTGAATCTAAATCTCTTTCTGGACACTTCTCTAAGCAGTGGCTTACTGGAAAGGAAGTCAAGGAACAGAGAAAATTGTTATGGACCCAGAAAAGGCAAACTCTGCCTGTAATGCTACTTCAGAAGGTTTTTATTTGTGCGTATTTTTGACCTTGCAGGAAACAGTAACAGATCACATTCCACAGTGATGGTGCAGCCTTTCACTCCAAATACAGAGACCTCCCAGAAAAGACTGTGGGACTTTACAGACAGGGACTCAGCTGAAAGACTCACCAGCAAAAGCTCACTCGTGAGGTATGGGTTCTGTGCCACAAAGCTGAACAGATGTCAGCGCTGTTTGTGCTCAGGTAGCAGTCACCTACAAAGAGAGACTGCCCTGAGGTCGAAAGTCCTACTCCTCTGTCACTAATGTCACAGAAATAGTGTGGCCAGCAGGACTAGGGCTGTGATCATCCACTGTACTTGGCAGTGGTGAAGTCACACCTTGAGTCCTGTGTTCAGTTCTAGGCCCCTCACTTCAAGAAAGCTGGAGCGTATCCAAAAAAGGACAACAAAGCTGGTGAAAGGTCTAGAGGAAAAAGTCTTACAAGGAGCCTCTGAGGGAGCTGGGATTGTTTACCTGGAGAAAAGGAGGCTCAGGGGAGACACAGACATGGAAAACATAGCCATAGCCAAATTCAGAAATTTGGCTTGTGTAAATCACTTTCTGTTGCATTTGGAGACTGTAAAAACTTGCAGACTGTGATATGAAATCCTAATCCTGCTACCAGGCAGACTTTTGCTGCTGAGCTAGATGCCTAGTAAGTTCTTATATATACAGAGTGATTTAAACTACTCTAGATTGTACCTGATTTTCTGGTGATGCTTGTTGTTGATAGGAGAACACCATCCTTCAAAATCAAAGCGGAGAGAAAGTCTGCAGAATTTTCCAGATTTTAAGGAAGATGAGACTGCAGGGACACAAGCCTCCATCACCACCCTAAGTCTAGAACAAAGTGGAAATAAAACAAAACTGCTTCCATCTCTACTAGAAGCAGGAAGAGAAAAATTATATTTGCCTCAAGGAATACCAGATCATTATATCTTAACTCAGCCCTCTGGAAATGTATGGATATGTTTTAAGGTAATCGATTCCCTTGAAACTTTTTAAATTATGTATTAAATCTCATAAAATCTTTAAATACAATTAAACAGGACTGCATCTGGTATACTTTTATGTGTATGACAACTCTGTCATTCAGCATACCACACAAGTGATATCTACTCTGAGTTACCTCAGGGAAGAGCAGAGGCATCTTTAAGCCAGACAGCTCAAGTGGAATGACTCTGCAAGACAAGAGTGGGGAGCACCTAGCAGAGCATGAGGTGCAAGTTGTGATTGAACTACAGCCACCTGCAAGTGGATTTGCAGACACCAACAGATTAGATTTAAGAGGCTTCAGTGGTCTGTGCACCCAAAGGTAATGTTTGCTATATACTTCCTGCAGTGTTTTGTAGTCTCCATAGTCTTGCCTTTTTACAACACATTAATCAAAAATTCCCTATTTGCCAATTCTTTCTGGATGAAGTTATCAGGAATAAGAAAAGTCCTGCAGTGTTACTCATTTTTAATGGAATCTGAATCTAAAATAAGGCATGAACAACCACTCTTTCAGTGTAAAAGGAGAGGAAATGCAGGTTAGCAAGGAGGAGGTCTAGTCCCCAAACAGCAAGCTCCACATGCTTGGAGCTTGTGTGTATGGTGTAACCATGGGGACGAATATATATATATATATTTTCCCCGACTTATCTCTGTTGCTGAGCCAGAGTTATCTAGCATGAAGATGGGAAGAAAGGACATTTTCTACCCCCAGGTCATAGTGGCTGGGGGCTCTTCTTTGACAAATGGAAGCTAAAGCTTCAAGTCCTTAAATCCTCTGACAAGGACTTCAGCCTTGGTCCTTTTCTAGCCCATCTGAAGCATGACTCTCATTCTTTCCTTGCAGTCTTCTCCTCTGCCCTGACTAATTCTCCAGTGGAAGGGAAGGAGAACCCTTTACACCAAGTTTATGTAAATACTTTCTGGGTACATGCAACATCTAGAGTTTAAATTTAGACTGATTCAGATCAGTCACTTGCATCCAACAAGGTGATCTAATAATTTTATTTTTTTTTGGCTAGTCCAGCTCTCTCATCTGCTGTACCTCAGCTGGAGCTGCTGCCTGTCACAAAAAAAAAAAAACAAACAAAAAAACCCAAAAAACCCAGCACATGAAAGTAATGGGAAACTGATGCATTTTCATTATTGTTGATCATTTTTAGCTGCTTTTATTAAAAAAAAACAACAAAACAACAAAAAACCCCAACAACAACAAAAAAAAAACCAACAAAAAACCCAAAAACAACCAAACAAAAACCCCAAAAACAAACAAACAAAAAAACCAACAACAACAACAAAAACAAAACAAAACAAAACAAAAAAAAAAAAACCTAACATTTTTTAAAAGTATTTTAAATTTACCATTTAAACTTACCATTCAACTGATAACAGCAAAGTTATCAAGAAAGGCAGCCTTCTATACTCAGGTCAAACCACCAAGAGGCAAAACAAAGCTGTGCCTTGGTTGTGGCTTAGTACAGCTGCCTCTTTACCCTGCCTTGTGCCATTCCACTGAAGAGGGTTTTACCACAGGAGGCAGATTTTGTTCCACTTTTTCCAAGGCTCTCTATGCCTTGTAAACCTGGAGATCTTCTCCCAGATTTTTCCATCCAATCTTGAAAGCAGCAAATGCCCTATGAAGTTCTCAGCAGGCATTTAGTAGTAAATACTGCTAATACAAGTGGAAAAAACATTGTCTTGTGTTTAAGTGCATAAAGTTTCATGGATCTGGTGTTCCTTCACAATATTTTATTAATTAATATATTACTATATTTTAATTAATATATTATTAAATAGTTAAAAGTCACAAGCAAGCAATTTCTCTGAAGAACAGCTAGCAGTTATTAGAACAAACTTTTGTTTCGTCTGTGTTTGGCAGCAGATAGCAAGCTCTGTATTTGTGGGGGTTATCCATCGGAAAGTAGTGATCTGGGGTGCCTTTCAGGTGACTTTTTGGCAGGCATGCATTCATATTCAGTCATTAAGCAAACATAACACCAGACTAGCAATGCCTGATTTATAAGCATGTCATATGCCTTTTTAGGGTGAGACACAAATAAACAGCTTTCTCTTGGAAGTGCTTGCTTTGGTTTGCATGCACTCTGCTCAGTCACAGGACAGCATGTGGCACAAGGCCAGGCAAGAATGGGGCCAAGGTAAAAAAATGAAACCACAACCTTTGGGGAACAAACACACAAAATTTCAGAGGCCCTTAGCCTCGTTGTATACCCAAAAAGAACAAGGACCAAGGACCAGTCCAGAGCACAGATCACTGATCGGCCTCATGTTGCTGAAACTCTGCTCTATAGTTCTATGAGTTCGGGGCTGTGCATATCAGAATGCTGTGAACCACAGCTCAGGTGTGCTTTGAGAGACAGCCTGTACCAGCTACCACTTCCCAAGAAGCTGCACAGACAAGACTGTGTAGGTGTAGGTCCCTTCACCCTGCAGAGTCCTCCAGCAGCCTCTGCCCTCACAGATGCCCTCCAGGTCCTCCTGCCACACCATCAAGCCAGCAATGTACTCCCTTAATGTCATAGAATCATATAATCATTTAAGTTGGAAAAGACCTCTATGACCATCGAGTCCAACCGTTAACTCAGCACTGCCAAGTTCACCACTAAACCTGTTGCCATGTGTCACATCCATGTCATGTTACAAAACCAAAAAAGTAACCAAAATAAAACAAAAAGGCACTCTGACAGGCAATGATAGAGCCCTCACACAATTTTAAGCCCTGAAACCCAAAAATATATTTGATAAAACTATTATCGTTTAAGGCTACAGTGGTACCACATGGGGCCCCAAGGAGATGAAAGGGTATATGCTTGTGTGTGCCTCCAGCTGCAAAACTGAACAGCAGTCCCCAAGCTGACTTTAAGTGTTGGCACAAATTTTGGTGACAGTTCTCCTGGCAAAGTGAGATTCCACCTTCCCTGCCCACAACTACCTAGCTGCTATCAGGTGCTGTTATTGGGACTCCCCCCTAACTGTTCAGCCCCCAGCCCTCTCCTGCAGCTCAAACCTTTGCGGCTCCTGTGTAATAGTGTAATGCTGGAAAACATGGGCAATAATTTGATGTCCCAAGAGCAGTGAGAATATGAGATGGACAGCATGATGGTGTTACTCACGTCTTGTCCATCCTTTCCAGCCAGGGCAAGCAGGGGGTCAAACACCAAATGTCTGTGGAGCCTAGGTGAATCAGGGTGCACCAGGACATGAGACACGGGAGCACATAGTCTCTTTGCAGTCATCATGGAATTAGTTTGTGTTCTGTCCAAGCAGGTTATAGGGAGGGGTTTCTTTATAGGACCAGCCAGAGGAGCACAAAAATTTGTATGTGCCACAAAATACTGTGCCAGGACATGCTGCTCTCCTATGCAAAGGCAACAGATCCTGCTGGTAGGACTCTCTCTTTTGAGATAGCCCCCTGCTGCCATCTCACCTTTCAACTCAAAATGGTTCTTTTTTTTTTCTTGCAGCTGGTATCCCATTAGTTGTTAACGTCTCATGGCCAGAATTCAGCTGTACAGTTGCATTTCAGCTTTTACTACTCCTCAGGTTTTGCATGATATTCTTTAGCTCAGGAAATTAGCATTGTACAAGGAATATTACTACAACTTACTCATTGCCATTGCAGCAGAAGCAGCATTTAGTAGATGCAGGGTTCAGGCAACGAAGTCTTTGTAAATGCTCTCCCTTCGAGCTTGAGTACTGCCTGCATATACCCTGTTGCTCTTTCTTTGTCTAACTTTGGATTTCAAATAAAATAATTCTAGATCTCAAGTAAATTTCCAACATGAAAGAAATGTATAAGATTTTCCTTGGAGGTCCCTGGTGAATATGCTGTGTTCAGAATAAACAAGGCAGAAGCAGGTCCAAATCCTTCAATGTTAGAGAAGTCTGCAAACTCCTCTCACTTTTGTGGATCTCTGTTTTATATTGCTCAGCATCCTTCCCTACCATCTTTTTAATATAGTGGAAGGCCATAAAGATGTTCCAAGCTCCTAGTTCAAGGCAAAAATCTCTCACTGCACTCCAAAGCAAATGAAAACCAGGTGTTATTTTTCCAAATATTTTCCTCCAACAAGGAGGCGTGATAGAGAATTTCCTTTTTTTATTTCATGCCCTATTTTGTGTAGCACCTTTTAAAAATACTTTGTCTGTAACATTAGGGATAGAAGACTGTAAAAGGTAAAAATCTTCTGGCTGTGAAAATACAATGGCTATGCATTCTGCTAGTGAGTTATGTTGTCGTACATTCAGTTTACATCCATAAGGAGCACCAGCTTATGGCTTGGTCATGATTATTTAATTAAATGTACTTGAGTCTATGGTAATTATTCCTCTCAAGCTTCTGCTATCATAAGTTTGTTTCAGGCTCTTGACATTTTAACGCATAAAGGCACTGCTGGTATAAATCAATGCAATTACTCACGCTTTATTCAGAACTTTTCCTCCAGCCAACACTCAAAAGAACCGTACTCACTCACTGCAGCTAACATCATCTCTCCTTGAAATGTAACTGCCCCTCTTGTGGCATTTGGAGTAGCGTTTCTGTGTCGAACTCTTGCAGAAAAAAAAGGAGTAACTTCTAAATCAGCAAGGGGAATTGGCCAGACAGAACGTGACTGTCCACGTTGCAGTTTGGACATTGTTCACATATATATGCATGATTCTTTGGCCTGACTTCAAAGCTGAGCCCACCAATTCAGTGCAAATTCAAGTTGCTCAGCCTATCTGAAAATCTGGACATTACTGAATGCAAATGGCCAGGACTTGGTTTGTAATGAAGCATTGAAAAGACATCAATAATGGGCTCAGAGTTGAAAGGACAGGCACATAAAAGAAACTATCTAGCACCACCATATCATATAACATCAGGGAGATCCTGAGAGGTCTCTGCTAACCAGGACCTTAATTTCTTAACAAGTAAGACCACAGTGTGAGGCTCTTGTGGGCTGAAAACATGGGGGAATAAGATTAAATAAACCCTTTTGAAAGTTAGGAGCTTGAACAAGGCAAGATGAGAAATGTACAGGTTTCCTCAGTTTTCTGCAAATAATGAACACTGCGATGTGTCGCAATGTGACTGTGATGTGTTCCAATGTGCTCCCATAGCCTTCAGTAGGAAACAGTGCAAAAACCCAGCCTAGGGGTATCCAGAGTAGCTGGAGACATTCCCAGTCCTGCTGCTTCTCTTCCGTTCTACAGCACTCTGGATTGCCTGGAGGAGCATGTCTTTGTTATTGAGGATGTTGTATTTGCTCAGGTTCACGAGTTTATCAAAATTTTCAGAGGAGTAGATTAGCCTAATGAGGTAGTAGGGTGAGCAGCTGTTCTCCAGATTTACTTTGCCTTCTTCCATCTCTGAGTGACCACGCTTTACCCCTGCAGAGTAAGACAAAACCCACCACAGTGAGCTGAATCTGGAGTACTAAATACACGGTGTTGTAAGGGACGGATCTACTTGGCAGAACCCACTGTTAAAAACAACCCCCAGGAATTACTACAAACCCACCCCACAGCTTGAAAGAGTCATTCCTGGTCAGTTTTCCCAATTACTCCTCCCTCCCCTCCTGCTAAGCCTCCATCCTGGAAATCCCTCAGTAGAGCTGGCACAAATCCTTACATTCCTCCTTATCCTGCCCCTGCAGACAGTTATTCCTGGCAGTGTGCCCATGGGTCCACATCCTTTCCCAAACCCCGTAAGTCTGACTCTCAGACAAGACACACACCTGGAACACCTTTCAAAATCCATGATCACCCCTCAGTTAACAGCGACAGGTGACAAGTGCACATTTGCCAGCTAGAGTGAGTACATACAAGGAGGCCTTGTGATGCTAACCACATAGCACTGCCTGTTGCAGAGTGCGTAGGTACAGACGGACCAGAGGACCCCACATCAGACTCTTAGCAAACTCCAGCTTGGCCTTGAGTTAACTCAGCCTCTTGGAATTGGCAACATCCATAATCCCTGTTAGGCCAATATTTTTGCACCAGGGACTTCTGCAGTCTCATATTTATGTTTCTACAAAAATTTAGCTACATTTCTTGCTGGTTTTTTTTTGCCTATCTCCTTGCAGTCTGAACCAAATATGCCCAAAACACAAATGTAATGTGAGAGGAGTGTCACCAGGACTACAAAGACTGCTGAGATATTCCTTATGAGTCAACCAGAAGCTCATGAACTGACATGAATTTTGCTTGAGAAATATCAGGTTTTAGTCTAACCTAGTGGTTTCAGGGCAGTGTGATATCAGGGTCCTGGGCACACGCTGTCACTAAAAGTGGCTGTATTAAAATAACCAGTGTTGCTTTATTGAGCCTCCCAATATTCAGAGAGATATTATCTGTGTTACCCACATCCATATAAAGCTGCATTTGCCTCAAGCACACAAAAGCACAGTCTATAATACTTGCATTGTAAATGGGCACTTCACAAATTGAGTCTCTTTGGAATTTAAATAGTTAAAAACAAGAAAAAAGTACCCACATTCCACAAGGTGTCTCTCATCCGCCTAGAAACAAAAAGCTCCACTGTTAAAATTGAAATCCACAAAACCAGGTTGCCAAGGACCTTCCTCCCCCAACTACCCACATCAGTTGCTAGTTGTCAGCTTGATGGATGAATCACCAACTGCTAGAGACATGCAAGTGAGCGTCATAGCTCACCAATTTGTGCCTGGAGCACTGAGAAGCTGCAGCAGCTGCTTTGCTCTGCATCATCTCATCTATCTTTCATTCAGAGAGATTCCAAAAACCTCACCTTCTTTACCTGCCAGCCACTGCTCAATGACCAGATCTCACCACACATTGCCATCTAGACCATCTCCAACCACTGAACAAGCCTACAGGGTATTTCCTCTTTTCATCCATAGAGTTTCTAAATGTGGTTTTCTTGGTTAGCTCTTACTGCACATATTCACTGAGCATCGGTGAATAGCAGAGCAGAAGGGACCTCTACTTAAAACGTTTTGCTGCTGTTCCTACCCTTCTCCAAACGCTGCCTCAGAGACACCCATTCTGCTGTGGTCCTACTTAAAAACACAATAGAATTTTGCCTTTCTGCCTCCACCAATTCTGCACTACTTGCATTAATAACCGGGCCAGACAGAGCACCACATGCCCTCTCTGCAGGCAGCCATTTCACCTGCTCCTGAGCTGGGTGCAAGTAGGTGATCACTACAAGTGGTTCATGGTCCTCTCTTCAACCACAGAGAGGAGGCCCCAGGTCCAGCCGGCCATGCAGCTGCAGCCTGTGAGTGCACTGGCAGAGCACTGCAGCAAGTTTGGCTTTTGCCTGCTCTTGCATTCATTAAACATTCAGATACTTTCCAGGGGCTGGGTTATTTTTTGTTTTGTTTTGTTTTTCACAAAACTGAAGACCCACCCACTCTTGGCAATGCTTTCCAACGCAGTGTGGCACTGAGTTGCCTGGGATTGTGTCCTCCATACTTTGAAGTGGAGAATGACCAGCAGGTGTACAGAGGTTGCTCTTCTGCCTGTCATCAGTGGAAACATACCAGGGGTAGAGCACAGTACATAGTTTTGTTGACTGAATTTACCTGGCTCCTTGAATTCCTTAAACGTGTCATTCACCAGGGGGAAATGGATTACTATGGGTGCTCTGGGGTCCTCGGCATCCGAAAAGACATAACATTCCTTTGGGTTCTTCTTTTCTTCTTCACTTAGCTCCACTTTGGGGAACGGGATATTTTGTATCTTGCAATATTTGTACGTCATCTCTAATTGCTGTGGACACAGAATGTCACGGAGTTAAAGCTCTAAGCCAAGAATCAGGTTTACTTACCAGGAGAGATCAAGGACATGTCTCCAGCAAACAATTGTTACTGCAATTCCCTGAGGATCCTAGGAAGTGTATGCTGAAATTCACTATAGAGAAAAGAGCCTAACAGTTTCTATAGTTCTGTTCTTGAAGTAAGTTTCTTTCCTCCTTCAAGATACAGTGACTGGTTTGGTCTTGAATATATGATCAAGATTTAGAGAACCACTTACTTAAAAGTTTTAATAAGATAAGAATAGTTTTACCATAATTGTAAAGAACAGAGTAAGTTAATCTTCTCACCTTGAACACACTCCCCAAACCATAATCAAGGGATATAATGACATCTACATTCCTCTCTGGCTTGAAAAGTGCTGCACCACTGGTGTTGATGAAATAGCCAACATCTATCAGACAAAGATATTTCTGCAGCGGTGTCAGATTGTTAGGGAAAGCGTCCAGTACAGTGTCTGAAAAACATTTTGAATATAGTTAGGGCTGCACTGTTAGGAAAGGAGGAGTGAGTAATTCTGTCTGTGCTACATGTTAAGAGCTGCCTCCTGGTTGCCCTCAAGACCAGGGTCACCTCCCTCCATAACGCAAGCCCACAAACATGGCCTCAGAAGCATGCCCTTTAGACTGCACATCTGGGCCCATCTGGCCTGTTACCACACTCTCCCAGACACACTCACAAAGGCAGGCCATGAGGCAGCCAGGAAGAGGACAGGTGATACACAGACTCCACTGACCTCACAGCTGCTCTGGGGAGTCATTTTTCACAGAATACAGACTTCAACAGATTTTTTTCCCCCTAAGAACTGGGAAAAATGTAAACAACAAAAACAATTTCACAGTGTAGCAACACAGCTAACAAATGCAATACATCGCTGCATTTTTGCATTGCTCTTTTTTTGCTTTTGTATTCTCAGGGTTAGGTTCCTCTCCCATGTTGAAAAATCTGACTTCAACCTGCTTTCAGTGATCTCATATAAATTATCTGCAAAAAAATACCACATCATGCACACAGTATCCCCTACCAACAGCTTAAAATACTGCTTGAATTAATTAAACCTCACATTAATGCCAAAAAGAGCCAAAAGGGGATTATACCAACTGGTAAGTTGAGATCTAAAGCCAGTTTCTGATAGTTGGACTCTTATTTCTATGCTAGCAACCTCACCAACTTGCCCTATAGACAGCAAGTCCTCTATTGTTCCCCTAGTACTCTTCTAGTCCCATGAAACATGAAACATTTTGCCATGGTTTTAAGTATCAAAATAATGGGTTAAGGGTGTCCCTCAAGTTCACAAAATGAGGTAGAAAGCCCAGAGCAGAACACTTGAGCCTTAAATTATTGTGTTTAGGCATTTTAAAAAACTGTTGATCACAGAAATACTGCAGCATTTAATTCATTCAACCTCTCTGCTTCCTTGGCCTCGTTCTGTAGTGTTAATTTAAACTGTACAGAGTAACTAGCTTGTTCCATAGCCTGGAATGTTTCACAGCAGCTTGAAGTAATAACTTATTTTAGCATTCAAGGCTGCTGAGAATTCACAGATTCTGCTGTCATGAGAGACATTTGCTTGCAGTCCCTCACAAAAGAAACAGAGCTTTTTACTTGTCTTTGGCCCAGTGAAAATTTTAGTTGAAATTACATTACCCTCCTTTTCTTATCACAGAGGTGGAAATATGCAGCATTTATTCATGGTTGGACATGTGAACTACAAGAAGGCATTTTCTTGTGAGAATCTCTTCTTCCATCCCACATGCAAATAGAGACTTTCTTTAAAGAAGTCCTGTCTCAGGAATTCCCTTGAAAGCATGAACCCTACTGTAAACGCATTACACTAATTCCACGGTATTAGTTCTGAAATATCTCACCAGGAAAATCAGACATTTAAAATTTTGTTTTAATCTGTCAGATAACCTCAGATGTAGGGAAGCCTTTAAAACAAAGTTATATTCTGGAGACTTCACCTACCACAAGACTATCAATTCTGTTCACAGACCTGACATCTTGCTCCTAGGGTTTAGCTTGGTCTTGTGCAGGCAACCAAAAGAAGATAGAAAATCTGCTCATTTTCCCACTCCAGACTTTCAGTTTCCCTTTTCCCTCTCCAGACTTCACGTTTTCCATATATTTTACTTTATCTGTAGATTGTCTATCCTAAGATAGTCTTTAGTGTTCCTATGCTCGCTTCCACAAAATCCTCCTTGAAATCTGCTTCTACCCATTTGTCTTTAAAAGTGGTAATCAGCAAATGTAAGGAAAGCTTTTTTTTAACATTTACTGACTGACAATTTCATCCTTCATCCACCTTCTTAAGCTACTTGCTTGCTCCTTCTCTCACCCACCCTTCTTATGCTACTTGTTTTCTCCTTCTCTCATTTACTTTCTAAGAGCAGACTCTTTCAGGACACTGACTTTTTGCTTACTGAACATTTTGAAAGCAGATAGCACACTGTGAGCTTTGCCTTAATCCAAAAAAAGCACCACCCTGTCTTGCCATTGTCAGCAAACCATGTAGCAATGGCAGAGAGGGACAAAACATACTGTAACTTGCATAAAAGAGGGGAAAGAAAACACAAGTTGCCAAAGAGAAAGACTCAGAGGAGGCAGAGAATGCATACTTTCTTGCTGAAGTCGGATTAACCTTGATAATGTGGGGTCCTCCCACACCTGTTCATGGAATAAATGAGGGTGGTGGGATTATAGGAAGGTTTCTGATCCACAAAACCTCGGCTCCATCACCTTGCTATCATTTCACAGATTGTTTCATAGATTTTGAGGTAAAACTATTATGACTGTTTACTTTGCCTTCCTGCAGAGCACAGACCATAGAAAATTGCTGTTCCATTTATACATCAAGTCTACATATTCTGTTTGTTTAATACATACAGTCTAACCCTATGTGATTTCAACTTTCTGTAGCAGGATCTTGGTACTTCTGTTTCTGAGGGGTTAAAGAGAGGTCTCTGGATGGATAAATCATCAGGCAGAAATACCAGACATATGGGCAACCACAGACTTACAACCAGTCCTTTCCTTCATCTGATCCACATAATAACCTGCTATTTTATGCTTCTGGTGTTACCTTTGTTTCTTGACCTCAAAAGATTCTGCCATTCATGAATCTTTGGACTACTGTACCTATGCAGAGTGACGAACTTCCTGTAGAAGAGCATGGTTTGACACAAATTACAGATATCTTCCAGCAGGGAAAGAGCAGCCCATGGACTAGTTCATTTTAGCCTGTTACCCTAAAGCAACAGACACTGTGAACATAGTTTTACCTCAACAGATTTCCAAACCCTGAAAAAAATATCTCTAAATGTGAGTTTTCCAAAGTTTTACCTGCACAATGCAGCTAACTCTTTGTTGCAGTTACCTTTCCATTCAATAAATTTTTTCTGATGTATATAATCCTTATGAAATTCTAAGCCTCTCAGGAAGTTATGAGACTTTCCCAGTAGTGGGCGCTTGGTCATAATGTCCTGAAACATTTCATACAACTTCCCTGACAAACAGGATGGAGGCTCGATGACAGTGATATCATCCTCAGGGGAATGTTTTTCTGAAATAGAGAAGAAACTATGAAATAGAGGGGAAAAAAATCAGCAACCTGTTCTGCCAGGCCCATTTACTGGCTAGCTGCCCTTCTCTTCTTTCTGTGGGTCCCTCTTCTCTCTGTTTCTTGTAGGCTGCTGGAAAACACATGCACATGACCCATATCATTTAAACAAAGAGATATTTGGTTTTCTATAAAGCAACCACAGCTTTTGTCTTTTACTCTTTCAAATGACATACTGGCTTTGTACTTTTGTCCACAAGTAAAAGCCACCCTTCTCATTTGCAGTCATGGGCAGAGTCATATAACAGACCAGGAGGAATTTTGAAATGAAAAACATTTGTAACTAGCATGAAGTGTGGCTCTGGGGAAAAGAAAAGAAGGGAAGGGGCAGAGCAGGGCAGGGCAGGGGAGGGCAGAGGAGAGCAGAGGAGGGAAAAAGAAAAGAAAGAAAACATAACATAGTGATCGTTCTGATATGGATTAAAATTATTCTGGAAGACCCACAGTGAGGCAACACAACATGCAATTTAGAGTGAACATGTGAGAGATTATTCACAAACAGCATCAACAGTGTACCTTTCTTAAGCTTCTCCTGAATAGGAAGTATTATCTGGTCAAAAATAAATACTGATTTTTAAACTCTTACCTATATCTACCATATCTTGGGCCCATCGTTCCCAGAACTCATTTGAATTTGAGGACCAGTACAAGCCATCCAGCAAATTCCTAGTAAAGATGTTTGTCCAAAGACCTGCAAGCCAAATCACATGGTGAAAATACTGCCCTACCACATGTTAACCACTGACTATTACAAGTATCCATGCCTCATATTATTGGCCCACGTAAACAGACCCTGTCATAACACAGCTTAAGCAGTAGGTCTCACAGAGTTCAAAAATAATGGTGTCAGCACTTTACTGCTCTTTCTCAAGAGGGAACTACATACAGACCATTCACTGCATAGTAGAGAGTAACAAGAGGTATTTATCACCCAAATGATATTTTAGAGTGTTTACTGTGTAGCTGTGAGAGAAGCAGGCTTTAAAAGCATGGTGAAGCATCAGGGCCTTCTTTAAACCAATTTATTCTTTAAATTGACGTAAGACCCATTTCTTCCTTTCAGGCACATTTTGTTTCTGTGGACTACAACTGGTCCAAGGTCAAAATAGAATTGGCTCCATATGTGAGTCTGCTTTTGGAAAAGAAAGAACTATTCTTTGTCATTAAGCCCCATGCCAGGTACTTACATGAGGAACAAATTCAACCTCTAGCAGACTTCACAGTGAGAGAAATATATTTTTTGTCTCCACTGGACCCCTGGTTTTGGTATGAAAACTAAAACTCTCGCAAGGATTTAAAATCTGCCTGGGATAGATGGGTTCCTCTGACTAGCTGTTTTTACCCTTTTCTTTACCTTTACTGGCAGAATGGCCAGTCAAGGTAGCTGTTCAAAGTTCAAAGGGCTTCCTTCATCCTTATGGGCAAAGAAGATTAGTGACATCATTCTCAACCCACAAAGCTCAGGTGGCTCTCACCTTTGTGGATTGTTTTAGATGACATTTTATTTTCAGATCCCTCCAACTCTACTGCAGTAATGCATTCTCTAGAAATACAGTTTATGAAGTTGAAGAGTTGATGACTGCTCAGGGAAGGAAGGCTTATTATTTCCTCAACTTTCCTTTTCCACTATCTTGTTTGGTTTAGAAAATGTAAGGGGAATCATGCTGCAACTTTCCCAAATCTGCCCAGCTTAAAGAGAGGACAGAAGGAAAGAAGTTTTACAAAGAGTAGAAGTGTACAAAAGTGCACACTGAATCAAGACTAGAGCAGACTTGCTGGCAAGGAGTGTTGTACACAGGCCAGTGGCTAGCTAATATCATGATTAACTGTATTGCACTGTTAGGTCACCTTCCAGATAGCAGATCCGAGACTCTGGCAGCTTCTTCACTCGCCTTCCCATGAAGAACTTGCTGTCAAAATATTCTGAAGGAATGGAGACTCCATATTTTGGTATGGCTACCTCATAAGGAGAGAAATCTGCCCACTCTAGAAAAGAATTGACACATGGCATGTTTACTGTAACAGAAGTAAGAAAACAAAACCTTCCTCTGTGGATAAAACTATCCACAAGCTCCATGGATCTTGCTTGTTTCAGCAGCACAGTACTATTCGCAGCTTTTTAATTCAAGCTGTACCATAGACCTCCATACAAACTGAGAGATGATTTGCATACAAAAGGATCTAGCCTTTTCCCCTCAGAAAAAAGTCTAACATTAGGTTCAAAAGCTTAAATATCTATTTCTATATAAAGATTCTGGAATCTCACTTGCCTCTCTAAATCTAAAGAGCATCAACTGTACAACATGCAAGCGTGACCTAAATTTCAAGGAATAACTGGCACGAAAGCTAACCCAAACCTGCCAGTCGACATGATATAACAAAGCAGCCTGAAGACACATCAGCACAAAACTAGAAAGTATCACAGTGTGGGCATGGCCATGCAGTTTCCTGACTCAAGCTGTCCTGTACAGGCATTGCAGTAGAACAGTAGCTATAAACCTAACCTAATGGAAGCACTAATTGCTTTTTCCTTCCAGAATCTTCTCATTTTAATACCCTTTCTTTAATGTGGCCTGTGTCCATTTAAAGGGTGTCATATCACAGCATCATACTCCACTCCATTTTCATACCTTTATCAGTGTAGTATTTAGGGAAGTGACAATTACATTTTCCAGCACCTCTACAAACTAAGGAAGTATCAAAGCCATTTCATAGGTGTGGAACTGAGGCAGAAAAAGATCGGATGATTTGCCCACACTCACTCACGGTGTCTGTAGTAGGACTTTTACTTCTACACAATGTCTGTAGGATCTCACCCCAGAATTTCAGAAGTGTCCTGTTTATGGCTGAGGATGTTACCCAGCAGATCTACTCTTTCTAACCCAGTAGTTTGCAAAAAAGACAAACATTTTATTAAGAGATGACTACTGAATCAGGGCAACAGATGTATTCCCCTTTTTTTCTACACACACACACACCCACACACACCCTCCCTCCAAATTCTCTTTAGTCCATACCTAGAATCAGAAGAAACTCTAGGAACACTTACCTCTAAATTTGAAAGTACCACACTTCTCGTCTTTCACATTGAGGACTGCATAGAAAGGCAATGGGTTTTGTCCGTGCTCCAATGCCCTGCGCTGGTCTGTGAGTTTGTACTTTCTTGGCTAATCGATGAGAAAAAAAAAATCACAGTAAACCTCTGGAAGAGCATAACACTGACACAATTTACCCGCATACAGATTGATAACAGATATTTTACAACACAGAGGAATCTGTGAGTCACATTTTAATTCGAGACCTTTTCCTTCATGTTCCTGAGCTTTCCTTCTTGGTTGTCTTTTTGATACCTAGTAGCTTCTTCATTAGAATATCTAAGTACCTTGATTGTCTGCATCCCATAGATCTTTACTAAGGCTGAGATTAATGTTCACATGAGGACAGATTACTCCAGCTCTTAAGTGTCAAATTATAAACAGATTGTAAAAGATCTGACTTTTCAGGAGGGTAGGTGCAGGAATTTCTCAGCTCTTTCTGAAAGTTTCCCTCCTGAATTTCCTAGCTTTTGGGTACCCTAGTACAGAGGCACCTTCAAACTATTATCTACTCTGGAAAATCCTCTGTCATAGTTTACAAATCACACTGGGATACCTCAGTCTCTTTGAATTTGTTACACACATTACATCATGCTCTCAAAGAGTAAAGCTCTAAAGAAAATGAGTGGATGTTTCTCAGTTGTTAGGCAGGACCATGTACATACCCGTTCATGTAAGAACATTTCCTGAACAAGCGACCACAGAGTTGTAAAAGATGACACATGTCCTGCTTTTGCCCTTTCAGTGAGTTCCTTGTGGTAATACTTCAGATGGTCTATAGACATAAGATTGAGTTTGCATTTTGTCACTTTTTCTTTTACTGCCTTAAGTGGCTCCTCTAGAGACTTCTGTGACCAGTCAGCATGCTCATACAGGTCTGCTAGGGTCCTAAGCAGCAGAAATGTGAGAAAATCGACCATTTATTTAGATGATTTTGGAAAACTGCTATATTTACACAATCACTTTAATCAACAAAGAGAATCGGTAAGCCTAAACTGAAGTTATATTTGAGAACCAACAGTAAGAGTTTCACCAGGCAATTATGTTCACTTGTTAACAATATAAGTCTTTAAAAGAGATGCATCTCTCTCACTGTGTGGAAATGTAGTCACAGTCATTCCCAATCAAACCTCATTTTCTATACTCACCATGTTGAGCCAGAAGCCCCAGTGAGATAGGTAACACAGTCCAACAGATTTAGCTTCTGAAGAGCTAAGAGGTGGCCGAACATTGCTGACATTGCTCTGAGACCTCCGCCTGTTGCCATAACAGCTATTACTGGGACCTGTTCAAAATATAAGTATTATCCTCACAAAGCTACTCCCTTGTGTACTTGGAGAAGTCTATTTACAGCTTATAGGATTTCCTCAGCAGACTTCATTGGAGGACAATGAAATTAAATCAACATTTAGCCCGTCTTTACCAGTACCTTCTTTAAATTAACCTCCAGATACTCGGTGGGTTTTCTCAATCCCAAAGCTTGGATGAGTTTCAATACACAACGATTTTAACTCTCCTTCCTATCCTTGCTCTTTATAATTGGAATTGCAATGATTATTAACAGATAATGATATGATTTTATTAAAAATAACAAAAAATTGCAGTAAATGCAATTAAGAATGGATAAGGAAGTTTTTTGAACTTAGCAGAATTCAAAAAAACCCAAAATGATTTTTTCAACAGCATTTTTTTCCTTCAACAAATATAATTTCAACAAGAAAAAAAAATTTTCCCTTAAAAATTCACCCTGGATCTTGGCAACTAAAATACTTCAGCTTGTTATAAAATGTTCTTTCTTCACCCCAAACAATTTTGACTTTTTGTGAGAAGTGTTCTGAAAATGAAAAAAAAAAAACCAGGTAAGCCTAAAGAAGGGACATTACAATAATTTAATAAATATCTATGTGAGGTGAATTTCCAATACTCCTGTTTTCCTATTGGTTTGGGTTGTCTGGCTAGGCTGTATCTAACACAATATCCTATATCTTGCTGACCCACAGCATTGCAGCATTGAAACTCTGGCTTTGAAGTGTGGTATATTATGTCCTTGGGAATTTGGCCCATTGAAAAGAATGGAGGCATGAACAGCTGAGTTGAAATTTTACATGAGTAGGGGGTATGTCACACTGAGAACTTCTGTTCTGCTGCCAATCAAATCTATGGCTATGTTATCAACACGCAAAATCTACTAGAAATTTTGTGGGGACCTGTGCTAATCTTAATTCAACAGACCCACACACCATGCTTGGATTTCAATTCACAGACCTCGCGTCCATGTAGATCTCTTTTCAGATGAAGAACCCTTTTCAGGGCACCGGCAACCACTCTCTTCCTTTTTTGCAAGAACTGTTGCTCTTCTTGGCACAGATCATACCCGAAGCGCACATCTAGTTTTTCTGTGCTGAAATATAAATAAACTCAGAGGCATGGGATTGGTGTTTAAAATGCATATGGATTTATTTTCAGCAACTTCAGTCTACTAAATATCATAAAAAATCACGATTCCTTGTTCACATTTAAACACAAATGCATCTTCCAGTTTCAAGGAAATCAATTGGTTTGCTTCTGTGTGGTGTCTTTATTGTCTGACGTTTCAGTGTAAGGTTTACTGTCAGCTAAGGATAGCAAATATGAAAAGAGAAAGGTTTTGTGTCTTTCAGTGGCTTTGTGTCTTTCAGTAGCTTTGTAAATTGAGTTCTTTCTATTTCTGCTTCAAATCATTTCTGAGCAAAGGGTGTCTTGAACCTAAGAAGGTCTTTCATGGGCATTTCTAACACACAAACAATGTGATGATAAAGATATTAAAATAATTTTTGTTTGTTTGTTGTCTGACTCATTACTTTACAATGTAACATTTTGTCTTTCCTAGCTTATACTTCTTTCTCCTGATATCACCAGAACCACAAGTTTATTTTCTTAAGAGTACCTGTGTGGTTTGAGTAATGTATGGACTCTGGATGTTTTGCTTGTTTCAAATTTCCTTTTCCCTCTGCCTTCTTCCTGTGTCCTTTTTGAAGAAGGCTTCAATCTCGGTCTTCGGTTCTTTGATGCAAAGGACACTCAGTGACTAAGTTCCTCACTGTTTGAAACTCATAATTTCTTCTGCATCTTGGTATGACTCCTTTGCCCCAAGGACATCTAACTTTGATCTATTGTGGTGACTCTTTAATGGTGAGTTTTGTTATATTTTGCCTCTAGTCTTGTGCATTCCTTGTATCTAAATAAAAGATACTCTGTTCTAGATTTCACAGTTCAAAGAGCAATAAAACCTTTAGAGAAAAATAAAACATTCCTCTTACCAATCATTAAGTTGAAGGTACAGATGGAGTGGCACATTCTGTAAACAAAGAAATAAGAGCAGGGATGTGAATGAGTGGGAAAAAGAAAAGCTTTGAAATCCAAATTTCCAGTGTCTCCTGGAATATCCCACCACTAACACCCTGCATACTTTTTAAAAAAAAACTATAGCAAGAAAAAAGTGGAAAGCAACACCAAGCATATTGTATAGAGAAGTAAAAGAGGAAGGAGGGGTCAAAGTGGTTAGATGAACAGGCTGTGAAATAGGATTTCTTCCTCACTGTGAACATACTTCCATGAACCATCCTAACCCAGCAGCAGTATCACATTGCCACCCTCTGCACCAAAATACATTGGTTGCATTCACTGCCACACAGTAAAACTTACACTGAAACATCCCTGAGGATGAAGAAAAGCAGCCAGATAAAGACAGTGATAGAAGTGATAAAAGAGGAAATACAAGTCATCTCATCCTTTCAAAAAGCTAGAGGTAAAAGATAGTCCAAAAAGAGAGGTGGGGAATCACTAGTGGCAAAACATTCATTCTTCCTTCTTGTTACAGGAAAGGCTGCTGAAAATTCAGAGAAATTCTTCTCCTCCTATTTTTGCTTCTCTTTTGCTGCACAGTCTGGAAAAGGATGTCTGGCTACTGTTAACAGATTCATTTGGCCACATGGCAGCATTACTGCTGCTTTTAAAGCAACTTAGAGTTGTATCTCTGCACCAGTTACCATCATGACTATACACTTAGAAGAACATGGCAGCATTGTTTTCTGAGGGCATGATTCAATGCATCTAACTTTAGGCATCTAAAATTTAGGTATATAAACTGTAGTAGCCACCGAGGCTTGATAAAGAGCAGTAGGGCATCCCAAAAGCTTGCTAAGGGTATCAAAAATTCTCCTTTAACTGTAAAAGTACAGCAGAGATTGGTCTGAAATACATTTCAAACTGGCCAGGATGAATTCCCAATTATTGATTTTATAGACAAAAAATTCATATTTCTTTGAGAAAACTAACCTTTTTCATAGAAAATCTGTATTTGCCCAAAATTCTCACTCAGATTTACTAAATTTTTTTTTCAATATTATGATGTTAAATACTGAGGGTTATTCTATTCTTCTCTCCAAAAGATCATATAAATTTTGGAACACTTACATGTCTTACAGGGAGAGTTACTTTCACTCTATGTCCAACAGGGAGATATTTCAGTGGTACTGTTAAGGTGTCACTTAAATTGCTGTTGTCATCTTCCTTATCAGAAACTTTCTATACAAAACAAAAAACATGGGTTGTATTTACAGAATACAAACAATCCAGTTCTTTGCTATTTTGGTGACACTGTAAATAAGCAAGCAGTATGAACAGTAGTAGCATATAATGCCCATTACCTGCAGCCTGACTTTTAGAATTGGCTCCCAAGCCTTCAAGCAATGGAAGTAGAAAGTATCTGTGTCCTCCGCAGTCTTCCGTGTTCCCTCATGAGAGGCAGGCACGCTAAGCACGAGATTTTTACCCTCTAGCGAAAACAAGTTTGTTTAGAGAATAATACTGCTGTTCAGGCAAAATAGCAAACAAGGCTGACAAACTTTCTGCTGGAGTAATTTTCTGTGGTAGCTTCTCTGTAAGCTGCCACACTGACAAGTCTCCTACAGCGCAGGAACTGGTACTCCTGCCTTTACCCTATAGCTTGGAGTGCTCCCAGATCCAGCACCCTCTCACACTTCCACCAGCAAAGTTTACTGTATCCAAACTTGATAGCTTCAAGAAAAAGACAGAGATCAGCATTACAACTGAAGGTACTTCAGGGACTTTCACTGCATTACATTTCATTATTTAGAACAGATATCATTATATATTTATATATATATATATATATATATATATATATATGATTCAGAACATTCTTAGTTGTCTCTGGATCTGAATGACTTATGATAGGGTTGATCTGGTCATGTCCTCAGCTCACAGAGAAATCGCCATACCTCTCAAATATTTCCTGCTTTCATTAATGTCCACTTGCACTTCCAAGCAGCAAACCTCACGGGACTGTAACAGACAGGAGGAGAAAAGGGTGAAGATAGCAAATGCCACATCTGCAGCAAACAATGAAGCATCATGTGGAAAACCACTACCTATAATATAAAGCAAATGGAACTGGTCGCAGTGCTGGGAGCAGTCAGGTTGCACAAGAGTAAATTCAGAGCTCATTATCCCAGGACAGTAGCCCAGTTGCACTGTTTCAGATTGTCCATACAGTGGTGTTTTGTCAGAGATGGTTAACCCATTCAAGGTATCCCAAAATCAGGAAACTCTGTACAACACACCGTTGCCCAAACAGCTACATATATATATAATAATTATTAGGAAGGGTGGAGGAAAACATCTGATGATGAGTTTCTGTGTATTCTGGCAGTGATTAATCTACATGGCATCTTCTTACTGGCCCTGATGTAGGGGAATCATGGATTTATTTCACCCTACTCTCCACCTGAGTCAATCCAGTTCACCTTTAATAACTCATGCCAGGGCAGTTTTTCAAGTCATCTCAGGAACAATGCATGCCAATCATTACAGTTCTTATGCCTCACACAGAAAATGAGGGGGAAACAACAGAATACGTGTTACTTTACCTCAGGGGTACTAAGGGCTAGCATCTGGAAACCATGAGCAGGTTTGGAGTGGTTGGCATGAAGTACTTTGTACTCCTTAGCTGCAGGGCCAGCCCAAGGAGATAGGTAATGTACCACATGCTGACTAATACTGAAACAGAGTTCTATGTTTCAACAACTAAAATAACTCTTCATTAAAAAACTCATTTCCCAAAAAGGTGTTATATTACATATCCTTCCAGTCATAAGCACACTGAATACTTACAACTGTCTTCTACAGACTCATCCCTTTTAGAACCTTTATTTTTCCTGCCAAGTGCCATACTGTATTACGTGAAAAGCAAGCTGTTTTCACTTTAAACACCAACAAATACAGGGTTCTGTGACATTAACAAACAACAGCTTCACAACATATTGACATCTGTAATATCTGAGGACTTCAAGAAACACGGCTTCTGTTTTTGCATGGAGAGGGCAACAGTTAAGCCGTAACAAACGGGAATTGTCCCACATCTTTCACTTTATAATGCACACTGTGCTCTTCTCTATCATGGTAGTTTCTGTTCTCTCTATAAAATTACAGATATATTCCAAGGAGTATACATCAGAATGATGGAGAAGAAGAATACAGGGAAGAGGAAAGAATCAAAATGAAGGAGAAGTCACTCCAAGATAAATACATATGTGAACCTTACCACTAGGACATCATTGGTAATGAGGCGCTCTGGAGGGCCAGGGCTGAAAAGACATAATCAAATTACAATAACGAACATATGAAAGCCATTTGAGTATCTGGGTTACTGTTTTTTCTTTTAAAATAGCATTGCTATGACCTTTCCTACTTAAAACTGCATATAGTTATTTTAGCACAATTTCTTTTCTAAAAAGCAAAATACACAATCACCTGCTAAGCACGTGAACCAAAACATAGTAGCCAAACAAGAAGAAGGACAGGAAAGCCCATAAAAGTAACACTGCTTAAAACTATATGCTAAGATACAGCAGAACAAAGACATACTGATCTGGGTGGGATCGTGTCCTGCTATTAACAAATGACCATATGACTTGGGGAAAGCAAAGACTACTATTAATCTGTTCTGAAAATACTTATTAGAAAAGACATTTCTGACTGTTCCAGATTATAATTTATGGCTGATCACAAATGAATGGTAAACAAGAATTAGCTCCCACTGTGTTATATGTATGACTGCAAAACACAGAGGTAAGCAATAAAAATCTTTGTCCCAGATATTTACCTTGTAAGACCTAGGTCTGTCACTGAATGGATGTGGTTATTTAATAATATGAGTAACCTATAGAGTCTAAGAACAGCATCTTTCATTAAGGTCAATATTCCAACACTCCTATGTTACATACATTCATAAGTGTTTTCATATATCTGAAAGGACCATTACAGTTATGTAGCATGCAATCTTTGACTTTGTGTAAAGTCCAGGGTATATTACCAAACACCATTTTCAGCCTTAAAAATTCTATTTTGGCTGTAAAATGTCTTTAAATGTAAATAGCTAGGTTTGACTTCCAAGAATGGAGAATCCCCCACATGCCTTATAACTTGAATGGTGAAAGGTGTTCGTCTTATTTCTAGTCTAGTTCCCAAGCACTGTGTCTCACTCTGAACTTATATATGCAGCTGTGACTGCTTCCACATTTGCAGGAGATGATTACAACTCTCTTAAGGTATCTCTCATAGATAAATACATTTTTCCTGAGTTTCACTGTGGGAGAAATTAACCAAGAACACCAGTGATTTTCACAGAATCACTGAATATGCTGAGTTGGAAGGGACTCACAAGGATCACTGAGTCCAACCCTTAGCCTTGCACAGGACCATCTCCAAGAGTCATACCATGTGTCCAGGAGTACCATCCAAACACTTCTTGAACTTTGGCAACCTTAGTGCTGTGACCACTTCCCTGGCGAGCCTGTTCCGGTGCCCAACCACCCTCTGGATGAAGAACCTTTCTCTAATATCCAACCCAAACCTCCCCTGACATAACTTCTGGCCATTCCCTCGGGTTCTGTCACTGGCCACCACAGAGATCAGTGCCTGCCCCCACTATTCCCCTCACAAGGAAGTTGTAGACTGTAATGAGGTCTCCCTTCAGTCTCCTCCAGGATGAACAGACCAAGTGACCTCAGCTGCTCCTCAGGCTTCCCCTCAAGGCCCTTCACCATCTTTGTTGCCTCCCTTCGGACACTCTCTAAGAGCTTTGTATCCTTCTTACATTGTGGTACCCAAAACTGCACACAATATTCAAGGTGAGGCCACACCAGTGCAGAGCAGAGTGGGACAATCCCCTCCCTCGACTGGCTGGCGATGCTTTGCCTGATGCCCCCCCGGGTATGGTTGTCCCTCCTGGCTGCCAGGGCACTGCTGACTCATATTCAACTTGCCTTTGACCAAGACCCCCAGGTCCCTTTCCATGGCACTGCTTTCCAGCATCTCATTACCCAGTTTGTACAAACATCTGGAGTTGCCCCATTGCAGGTGCAGAATCCAGCACCTCTCCTTCATATGGTTGATCAAGTTGCTGAGGTCTCTCTGCAGGGCCTCCCTGCCTTGGAGGAAGTCAGCAGCTCCTCCCAGTTTTGTATCATATGCAAACTTGCTTAGTATCCCTTCCAGTCCTGGTCCAAGTCATTTATGAAGATCTTGAAGAGCAGAGGGCTCAAGATGGAGTCCCACAGAACTCCACTAGTGACAAGTCACCAGTCTGATGTCACCCCATTCACTATTACCCTCTGTGCTCGACCTGTGAGCCAATTGCTCACCCATTGCATGATGTGTTTATCCAGCTGTGGGCTGGACATTTTGTCCAGAAGGATCCTGTGAGAGACAGCATCAAAAGCCTTCTGAAATCCAAAAAGGTTACATCCACTGGCTTCCCTTGATCAACTAGGTGGGTTACCCTGTCATAAAGGGAAACAAGGTTTGATAAGCAGGACTTTCCTCTTATGAAGCTGTGCTGGCTCTGATCAATGACAGCGTTGTCTTTCAGGTGTTTTTCAATACTTCCCAGAATAATCTTCTCCATAACTTTACCAGGCACTGAAGTGAGACTGACAGGCTTGTAGTTTCCAGGTTGCTCCTTCTTGCCCTTCTTGAAAACCAGAACAACATTCACCAGCTTACAGTCATCTGGGACTTCTCTGGATTCCCAAGACAGCTCGAAAATCATCAAGAGAGGTTTTGCAATGACATCAGGCTCTTTGAGGATTCTGAGATGAATCCCATCAGGCCACATAGATTTGTAAGGATCCAGCTGGAGCAGCAGGTCCCACACAATTTCAGGGTCAACTGGGAGCTGATCATTCTCACAGTCACGGCCCTCCAGCTCAGGGCACTGGGATCTCCTTGGTCTGTCATCCATGTTGAAAACAGAGGCAAAGAAAGCATTAAACACCTCTGCCATGTCTCTGCCCCTGTTTGTGAGGTGACCATCCTCATTCTGTAACAGGCAGATGATATTTCTATACTGCCTATTACCATTAGCATATTTGAAAAAACTTTTTATTGTCCCTCACAGTTCTGACCACCTTCAACTTCAGTAGAGCTTTGGTCACACAAATTTTCTCCCTACAGTGGCAAGAAGCATCTCAGAATTCTTCCACATCACTTGACCTTGCTTCCCCTGGACATACATCTTACTTTTTTGATTATTTCAAAGAGAGAAGATTCCTGTTCAGCCGGCCTTCTGCCTTGCCTGCTTGATTTCTGACACTCGTGAATTGCTGCTCCTGTTCCCCTAAGAGGTGGTGTTTGAAAAGTGACCAGCACTGATGGACCCCAGCACCTGCAAAAACCTTTCCCCAGAGGGCCTTATTTACTAACTCCCTGAGCAGCCCAAAGTCTGCTCTCGTCATGACCCAAGTTGAAGTTTTGCTGGCACTTTTCCTCCTGTCAACAGAGATTTTAAACTCAATTGCTTTGTGGTCACTGTGGCCAAGACGGCCACCAATCTCCACTTCCCTCACGAGATCCAGTCTGTTGACAAGCAGCAGATCAAAGACAGCATCTTTCCGAGTCAGCCCCCTTAGGACCTGTTCCATGAAGTTTCATCCAGGTGTTTCAGAAATCTTCTGGCCAGTGTTGTACCAGCTGTCTGATGCTCCCAGTTGATTTCTGGCAAGCTGAAGTCCCCCATAAGGACAAGGGTAGTTGACTTGGAAGTGCCCCTGAGTTCCTCAAAGAAGAATTTGTCAGTGTCACCGTCCTGGTTGGGAGGTCTGTAGCAGAGTCCCATAATGGTTTGCCCCTTGATTCTTATCCAGAGGCTCTCAACTGTGTCATTGCCAACTATGAGCTCCGTATGTTCTAACCCTTATATTACATACAGTGCTACCCCTCCACCTCTTCTGCCATGCCTATCCCTCCTGAAGAGCCTGTAACTGTGCAATAGGGTACTCCTGTCACAGGTCTCATCCCATCAGGTTTCACTTATGCCAATGATGTCAAATCTCTGGGACTGGGCCAAAGCTTTGAACACCTCTTGTTTGTTCCTCATGCTGCGTGCATTGGTGTGGAAACAATTCAGGTGTGGTACATTATAGTCAACACCTCCTGAGGCAGACTGAGGGACCCCAGTAGGGTTTTCTCAAGTTTTGGCACACCATCCCATCGCTCATCACTGGTGAGCCTGGTTTTGTCCCTTTCCCCTTACCAAGCTGGTTTAAAGCTCTGTCAACAAAGCCTGCTAGCTCCTGCGCTAAAACTCTTTTTCCCCTCTGAGGTAGGTGCATCCCATCAGGTTTCAGCAGACCAGGTATTGAATAGATCATCCCATGGTAGAAAAACCCAGTTTTCCAATTACACCAACCTTGGAGCTACTCACTGACCTGACAGATCTGCCTATTCTTATCAATATTATTCCCTGTTACTGGAAGGATCGAGGAAATTACTACCTGTGCTCCTGATCCCTCTACCAATTGTCCCAGGGCCCTGAAATCTCTTTTGATTGCCCTAGGACTTCTCTTTAGTATTTCCTCATTGCCAGTTTGAACGACCAATATCATATAGTAATCAGAGGGCCTTACTAGACTGGACAGTTCTCTAGTAATGTGCCTTATCCGAACGCCCAGGAGACAGCAGACTTCCCTGTGAGTTGGGTCCAGTCTGAATACTGGGCCCTCTGTTCCCCTTAAAAGGGAGTCTCATATTACAACTACTCTTCCCATTAACAGAGGAGGTCTTGATGCCTGTTACAGGTGGTGTTGTTTTAGGAGGCCCCACTACCCCAAAAGAACCTCATCAGTTGTCTGGTGTCCTAGTTCCAGAGCCTTATATCTGTAATAGAAGGTACCCGTCCTACCCGTCAAATTTTGAGAAGAAGGAGGAACTTTCCTCCTTTCTTCATGTTTAAGAAAAAGAAGCCTTATTTATAGTTCCTTTTTCTGATCATGCAATTAGCCGGTTTTGACTGGGCTACATTCTTTTCTTTTTGCTAATGCTAAACTCAAATATGCCAGAATGTGCAGTTAAGTAGGTTTTCTTCAACCAAACTTGTGATAGCTTTTAAAAGACAGATAAAGATTATCTTACTGGGACTTGCTCTCCTCCAGACAATGCTGATCACCACTTTGAGAGGGATGGTCTTAATTTTATTACTTGTTGATTGTATTTTTTTCAGTTTGACTAAGCTATCACCTAACGGGTAACTTTTCTAATACTGTCTACAAAGCTCTATGTATAATCATACAAGACAAGTTTTATGGTCTTTGAGAAACTCCACAGTGTTCTACGCATTGTTCAATTAATATTAACAATTTGAAGAACATCTATGTTACGTTTTGCATGCATCTTGTGTAAAAGTTACCACATTGTGCCCGTTTTATACCATTTCTAGGATCTGGATGTACATGTTGAACAGAAGTTCCACCCTGAAAGGTGGAACTAGCTAGAGAAGTTAAGTTAAAAAAAAAAGTTTGAAACTGTAATATAGGTTCACTGCTGGGATGAAGAGCTGGAAGAAGTTTCTCTTTCTCTGAGATATTATTACTCCCTGGCAGATCATTACCTTCTAGCTTTGGAATTTTACTCACATTTTTTCCATCCAGAATTCCACTTCCAAACTTTCCCATTTCTTAGCGCACTTCTCTGTCTAAAAAGAAAACGGTAAAATAAATATATATTATTGGAGGCTGTAAGAATTTGGCAGCATAGACACACCTAAAAAGCACTTCTATGGCTGATATCTCTCCTGCTTATGATACCAAAAAAGCTCTGCGTTATGTCTTTCCAAAGCTGAGATTGCAATGGAAACCACAGACTTGTGAATGGCATGTAAGATTAATACTCTCCCATTGTGTGATACGTAGAACAATACACGTTTCCAAAGATACCATCGGAGAGGGAAAGCTTGACTGAACAGGAAATATAATGGCTTTCTGCAAGATAATGTGCATGGAAGAAAGGCATTGAAGCCCAGTAACAAGTCAGACTAAGGCCAGAGACATTCCATACACAAAACATTTAAATCACATTTACACTGAATCCAGAAGAGATGAATTAGACAAGTGACTGAGGAGGTTATTGAATCATTGCATTTCCCAGTGATTCACCCACTGGCTGAGAAGTGCATGGCACCAGCTGGCAGGGTCACAAGGAAAATCCATGTTAACAACTTTCAGCATTTGGGAAGTAGCTGTTCTTATGGACTGTCTCCTTCCTGCAATGAGCGTGTAGCAATACCTCAGCTACAGCTCAGACAAGCCCAAGAGTTGTCATAGACCTATCCCACCTTTGCTTCCTGGACAACTCTCTTTCATGGGCTCCTTTATAAAATACCAAAGATGTTAGCCGAACAGACATTCCCTTACTATGTGCTAGAGAAATCTGAATCACCTAGACGGAAACACAGCATGAACACCAACAGGAGAAGCCTGAAAGCATCATTTAATTCAAGTGATGAGTGAATTGTCTTCATATTTTTAATAAATAAGTTGCCCTTTAAGAGGAAATGTCCTCTAAGTGTGGTAAAAGTGGCATAAAGCTGAAAGGTAAGGAAGTTATTTATTTGGATTATAAAAGATAAAAATTATTATTTACAGGCTATTCTTGATAAAATATTTTGCTGCCACAGAGCATGAGAGAGAAGCTGCTTCATTTTCTGAATTTGTAAAAAGAGATTATTGAAGTCACAAAAATCCAGCAAAATTATATCTGTTTTGATGAGGTATCAGTAATGATATATAAGGCTGTCTGTTTATGAAGATCCAAACTCAAAATGGAAGCCAATGTGGACAATATAGTCTTGTCAATCACTCCCTGTATTTTCATCTCTTACCTCTGATTTCAAGGCAAATGTCTCGCGAATTGTCTCCCCAGGTCTGACTCTAGCAACATTAAAAAGAACTGTGAACTGCACGTCATCTTTGGTGAGAGGATCTTCATCACACACTGCCAATTCTAAAATGTTCTAGTAGTAGAAAAAATAAATAAGAACACTTATGGAGTTTCTGTTAAGCATAAACAAAAAAATGGTTTAAATTTTTGCAGTTGCTTCAATAGCACACTGGTAAAAATAAAGAAATATGTGCTTTCCTTCAGGAGTTTGCTAATGTGGAACATTATTAAACCTAATATTGGGAAACCTATGAAACAGAAACCAACTACCTGTAAGAGAGAGCTCCCACTCTCCCACGACAGAAAAGATGTCAGTGCTCTGCACCAAACTGATAACCCACCCAAAGAACACACTTATTTTCTTCATCCCCCAAGTTCTCTCAATTATACAGTTTAGAATAGGATTAAATTCGTTGTCTACAACACAGCAACTTCTCTAGTCTTCGCTTAGAACCAGTGGAGAGAGAGCTCTTTCTAAATTAGCCATTCGAAACAGCACAGAAGAAGCTGCTACAACAGTGGTTATTTCACTCAGGTGACAACAAAGGAAATCTGGACTAGCTTAGATATAGGCATTTACATCACCAATGTCTGTAACTAGCTGAGGGCAACGCTACTGCTTATGTCTACTGTTCTGTGCAAACCACACTGATACACAAGCATTCTCTTAAGTTATTTAGCACAGTTGATCAACAGGGTGTCAACTGAGGACTCCCAGATATTCAAAATGGTGACATTTCTATTTTTTCACTACCTCAACTTCTCTCTGGATCCTAAAGTAGAAAGTCTCATTCCAGACAGGGTTGTCAGAATTCTTGATGGTTTTGGTCTGAAGCTTTCCATTTGAAGCAGATGGCAGCCACAAGCGCACATAGCAGTCTGATGCAGTCACTGCAGCAGAGAAAAATTAAAAACCTAATGCCAATGTTATAGATGAAAAGTAGGGCTAGGTCATAATCCTAGGGAATTAATAAACATTATTACTTATTCGTTTTGGTTTTTTAGTTAGTAAAGAGATCATCAGCTGGAAACAACCAAGGAAAACCATCTAATTCCTGATTAACTACAAACTGCAAATGTGTACACATGCACACACAAAGTGCACTAAAAGCCATGTTTCCCATGTGAAGAGAAAGAGGTATAAAAAACTCCACTGACCATTCAGTGAGCACAATCCCTACAATTCAAGTCAATGATGTTAAAAAAGTTTAACTGAAACTACAGCTAGTTCCAAAAAGGGCTGTTAGGATGATTACAGGAAAGGAGAATGCATATTTACAGAAAAGATCAGAAGAGACTGGCTCGCTTAGTCTAGTAACACAAACATGCAGAGGGACATAATGGCTGTCTAGAAGGGTTAGGTACTAGGGCAGATGATCTGTTGCAGCTAAAAGCTGGTGTGGGCCCAAGAACAGGAGAGCATAAGCAAGTCAGAAATCTTCATGTCGCTTCCAGTCTACATCTAGTCCTTATGGTTAGTGCAGTCAGTGCCTCGAGCGGCCATCCTTTGGGGAGAGCCAGGGTGGGAAAGCACATTTACTTTGTAAAGCTTGACAACGGTGTGAAAGGAAATCTCCAGGGTGATGTCTTTCAGAGCTGGAGTCTGGACTTGACTGAAGATGTCTACTGCAGCCCGAGATGCCTAAATACTTCAGACTGGTATCAAGCAGTGAATAACATTGCCCCGCAAGGTTTTGGCAGGAAAGTGGACCTGTCCCTTCAATAAAGTAGATATAAGAGATCATTGAAACTCAGAAATACAGGTCTTGTCACTCTAACCCCTTTCTAGTGTCCCCCTCTGGACAGTGCCACATGGCATTTGCCACCGGAGTACAGGAAGCCCTGTGGCTGGAAGTTACTCCAGCAACAAGGTCTGGTCTCCCTCGCATCCAGGCTCAGCCCTGAATGGCAAGACACAAACGGTCTCTGCTGTAACTCAAGGAAATGGTTGCAAAGTGATGCTTTTTTTGGCTGAATGAGTGATTTTTCACTACAGGAATACAGAGGCCAGAAGTTTCAAGTGTGACAAAAGGCAGCTCACGGTCTCTGCCCTAACTGAGGAACCCGTGGGAGACCACTGCAAAAATGGCAGCTGAATGGTCCATAGCACACCTTGAGAAGGAGCCATAGGAGGCTGTGAGGGTGAGATAATGAGTTAAAGACAGTTGAACACAAATGGACACAGAAAAGTCTGTTTTGCCCTCATGTTCAGCATGTGCTTAGGGCTGGATCCACAGAAGCCCTCCTTAACCAAAACTACTAGTATAATTTAATGTGACTGGTCATTGGAGAACAGGAAATACCCTGAAAGATAAGGTATTTTAGAAGGCTTGGAATTCTCTAATTTACCTTTGATTATTGAATATGATTGTACAGGATTTCATTAAAAGGTACCTAAATATGTGGCCTATGTGGCAAAATTCCTGTCCATTATATGATTTTTACCAATTAGAAACATCAAAACCAAAAAATTCCAAGTAGATTTATAGACTGCGGTGTTCTCACAAAGTCTACTTTCCTGTGGTGGCCCAAAAAATTCAACCATGTGTCTTGATTTTTACCAGTTTCCTGAAATGCCACTAGAGATGTATTCAAATCTAAGGATACCTCAGGCATTTGATCTAATTATAGCCCTGGCATTAATATTTCTATTGCTGTGCTTTATGTACATTGCTTGCATACCTTCAGAACTTAAGAATATTGCTCACTGTGTCACTTAGGTGACTAAAAATACAATCAAACCACAACTCACACAGGTCCTTTGACTTGATGTTCTTAGCTTGTATGATTCTTACAGAAAGCATGTGGAGGGGGCAAAACTTCATCTGCAAAGAAAATAAATACAATTTGTTCAGAATACAAAACCAAGATGTACTTTTAACAGTACAGGGCACAGTCTGTCATTCCGCTTGTCTGTTTGAAGTGAGGTGCCCACCCTCCAGTTGAAGTACACCATGCTAAGACGGTAACACAACTGCACAATGTGCAGCTACTTGCTAAGTAGCTTGAGTAAATGAAGACAGAGAGAAAACACAGACTCAGACAACGGCATGGAAAGCTCTCATAGTCACCCTAGAGGTGCCTGTTTTCATGCAGCTTGCTGTATGCACAGCCACAGTGATGGTTGCACTGCCAATCCACCAAGGGTCCTGTGCCACAAGGAGGTCATAACGGGGCCCGTGGAAGGGGATATTAGGAACTTGCAGCTGCCTGCCCAGGTCATGGAACAGCACTGACAGTAGGCCAGGATATGGTACTTACCAAAGTGCTCTATTAACTCCTGACTTTGTATCCCAACTAGGACTAAATTACCATGACACTTGTAAGTAGGCTAAGCTCACGAAAACATCCTGATGACTTTAAGTGAACAGTGCACAGGCCCAGCACAGACCCTTCAGATGAAGAAAAAAGTGCCCTGCTTTGCAGGAATGGTATCACAGAATCCTGTATCATTATGTATCCTGAAAATACCTAATGGGAATGGAACCACTTCCCTTCCAGACATGAGATTTATTTCTATCACAGGCAAGCTATCATTGTAATACTTATTTCAAGTTGCTTGTTCCTTACTCTTAACAAAAAATTAAGCTTTTCAGCCTAAGCTGGTCAGAAAATACTTGCCATTTTCAAAACACATTCTCATAAGTGTGAATGAACACACATATGAACCATGACAATCTTAATAATTGAGAGAAATATTTAACTCTTTTTTCAAATTGGTACATATAAAAGTTTTTTTTTTAATTTTCTGCTCTTTTATCTTTTTTTTGTTTGTTTGCATATTAGAGTGGCTCTTCAGCAATAATAAGCAATAATAACATGCAGTCCCACTATCATTAATAAATTAAAACTTAAAGCTTAAATACACACTGACTGAAACATTGTCTCAATTTGTCTAAATGAGAGAATCCCAGTACAATGTAACTAAATAATTTCACAATTTTATTTTGAAAGTTAGCACCATGATTAATTTTCCTGACACTGAAATGATTAACTTTGGAGAGACAAACTGTTGGGGAAGGAGAAGCTTCTCTACAGAAGGAATCACTCACTTACTTTCAGCTAATCTGAAATTCTTTTAAAATGGGGTGGATACTGCTGACTTGTTTATTAGAGATTAAAATAACCTGCATTCAGTTTAATCAGGCTTATTTTGAGGTAAATTATGTTACCTCAAATGGACAGCAACTGATCTGTAAATTAGCATGTTGAAAAGAAGGCTTGATATTAAATTTTATTATGTCAGTTTTAAAGTTATATACTTTTAAAATTCAGATTAATATTCAAGAGTCACCCTGAACAGAGAAACCCTGTTAAACCTACAAAATCACATGACCCTGTCTCTTGGTCTTTTAATGGTTGATTGAAACACTGCTTGTACAAAAATGCAAGACAATTTGTTCTTGTGTGGCAAGAATCAGTTCTATTATGTGTTACTCCAAATTTAAAATTGATATTTTTAAAACTTTCTGAGTTTACTGCATTGTGGACATTATAGGTTCCAGCTGAGACACTTCCATATTGTTCCAGTTGCCCACTGAAAGAATTTGACTATAATTTTCCTGTGCAAATAGCTATTTGACATAGGACTACCAAATAGAAAACTCATTCAACATTCCTTGTGGTTTTCATTTACATAAATTATTGGATTATGCAGACAAGTACAGAGGTGACTGGTTTTATTAATATGTTATTTTGTTAATGTTATGTTATTTTGTAATCAACTTCCTCCTTGCTCAACAGAAGCCCAAACCATTCTCAGAGTCTGCCTTCACTGAAGAAATGGATGTTGATATAAAATTTGCTTTGAACCATTTGTGATGAAAAAATGGCTTATAAAAATGGTGCATCTGCAGTTCATCATCAGAGTACTCTCAGTTGTAATAGATGGTGTGTTTTCATCCTTTCCCACTAGAGCCAGAGACCCTCCCTTCCCCTTTCAACAGCAATCACTTTGCTTAAACATGTCAACATCTGCCCACCAATGGAAATATAACCAAAGATGACTGTTCACTACTTCCGATTCAGTGCATCTTAGCCCTGACATTGTTGCAGGGTAAAAGGCAAACATGTTCTGATGGGGAAATGTGGCCATAACAAACCCTATGGGCTGTGTAAATCCCATGGGGAAGCCAGAAACCACCCCTCTCCCAAGACCGCAGTTACTTCAGCCTGTGATAACCATTCAGAAGTGGGCTAATTCGTTTCTTTATCAGATAAAGGCAGCTAATTTTCTTCAACAATAGTCCAGAGCAGAATATTTGGGTCTGATTTGGATGGTCTAAAAATAATGTCTTTGCCCAAAAGTGCTGGTACTCCAGAATACCCTTCTAGAAAAAAATAATTATGGTTAGAGATAAGATTTACTATTTTCATAACATGAAAAGCAACATGTAACTTCTCAATTAATGCAACTTGATGACCACAGACACCACATCCAGATAGCTCTTGACAGTTTTGCAGCTGTACTGGTCTTATTATTTTAAGTTCACTTCCTTGGGAGAAATATGGTTTCTTGCATAGGCATGCAGACAGTAACAAAATCCCTCTGTAAACATCCAGAGTCAAAGGTGCACAAGTCCCACAAGTGTATCATTCTATTTTTGCTGGAAAAGTAGTAGTGCCACATTGAGCCCAACAACAGAGTGCAGGATTCAGCTACCTGTGTATGTTTGCATTCTAAACAATAACATTCCAGACCAACAAATAGTAGCATCTCCAGAGTACCAAAGAAAGGGTAGGCTAAAAATTGGAGGGAAAAAAAACCAAAACAAAGAAAAAACCAAAAAAAACCCCAAACTTCTTTTCATTCTAAAGTATTTACCATTGAACAATATTTCTGTACTCTCAAAGCAAGTTTTTGAGAGAGTCATTTCTGTTCAAAATACAGAAAAGTCAACAATCAGGAGATAAAACTAGCATGTCAAAATTGCCACAGCTGTGTCAAACCTTAACAAACTGAAAATTCACATCTGTTGCCAACATCTCTCTGATTGCAATAATACATATTCGCTGTCTTCCAGAGAATAGTCATATGAATGTTGGTCAGCTTCAGGAGGACACATAATTCTCCTGTTTATAGGTGGTTAATCACTCAAGGTTTCATTCCAAAAAGACAACTTTGAGAGTATTAAATCTTCTCAAAGCTCATAAATATTGAGGAGCCTACCAAGACAGTCTTTGGATGGCAGTAAAAGGACAAAAACCTACCAGGAGTTCGTATGTTCGATTTCAGTCCTTATTGCCCCTCCATGCTGCTCCTAGAACAACATCCCATGGCTACCTTCACTAGAAAGTTAGTCTTCTAGGGAAGTTTCTGCAATCTGGGAACCTCCTCCCACACCTACATCTTCTTTCTTTCTTTCTTTCTTTCTTTCTTTCTTTCTTTTTTAAGTCTTTGGTTTGTAAATGTAGGAAGGCTGATTGGAATGTCAGTGTTTCACTCCCCCTACACCAAATCTAAGCAGTTCGTTGAGCAGAGTTATCACGATGGGATAACACCAAGTTATATTAAGTTTAGTATGAGGAGTTTGCTACCTTCTGACATTCTGTAAATAGTTGTAGAATTCCTTGCTCAACTTTATCAATATCTTTCAGACATGAGTAATTACTTCTTTTCATGGATTACTTCTTTCTTCAGTGGTGCACTAGAAGCTGTACAATATCTTGTCTACTAAATCTCACGCCAAACCAATCTTAGATACTGAGGATTTGATTCAACTACAGCCTGGAGATTTATCATACTAAAGTTAAATCCATAAATTTACAAACTATAAAAAAGCTTCATGATCAGCCTGGTTCCAAAGCACTCTTGTCCACATAGATCCTCTAATGTCTAGTATGGGTTGAGTTTATTAGCCCCTCCATCAGTGAGAATACTGATAGGAATTTGTCCTTCCAACCAGCTGCCTATTTTCATTAAAATTGAAGGGATGAAAAGTTCTGATGGAAAAAGTAACTGACTGAAGAAATATGCAAAACTATGAGAGGAGATAGAAGGAGAGAGCATGACCACAGAAGTCTCATTTCTCTTGGGAATCACAATTATCCAAAATCTTTTCACTGGAAGTTGAACAGTTGGTGAGGAAATCTAATTCACCTTATACACATTTACTATAACTTCATGTTAGCATTGATAGATTGCTTCTAGAGTCATTGTGGATTTTGGATGTATCTCCTGTTCATATTCTATCACTCACCTCTTTACATGTATGAGTGGGTCCCTTGGGGCTTTGTATTGATAAAATTTCTGAGTATTTTACTAGGTAAAAATTATTCCATAGTCCACAAAATAAAACTGCTAAAGAGTGATTATTCTTGTTTGAGTAGAAGAAAAGACCTTGTTATGAACATCAAAAGTTGTAAATTAATACTTACCATCACTTCTGTGTCAATTTGGTAGCTTTTTTAAACTACTACTAGACTTTAAGGAGGTCTTCTTAGATAGTTAGGAGTATCCACATTTCTAAACATGGGGCTTTTTTAATATAAAAGAAAAAACAAACAAAACAACAACAACAACAACAAAACCACTGTTCTTATTTCCATATCTGTTTACCAACTTACACATACTGAAAAACACATTTCCCTGACAGAACACCAGAGCTACCTGAAGTATTGAATTAATCTCTTTCCTTGGGAACAGAAGCTTTATGATCTGAACCTATGCTGGTACTCAAACCTTTTGGCAGTGGTGCCTATTAACCAGGAGTATGTCTACCCTCATGGAATATCAGTTGCAGCATTGGGATGAAGTGCAAGAACTTTGTAATTGAGACTTTCTAGATAAAATTATACCTAAGCTATCTACCTAGATATCAGATCC